GGGGGGGGGTACCGTATCTGGGGGTCCTTATAGAACCAAGAACCCGGTATCCTGAAAACCTGCAAAACCATAGCCTTCGAAACCTAAAACAACCCTGGAGGCCCTGTGTCAAAACCACACATGTGGCCGCGAACCATAAGCAAAAAGACCTGAATCCCGGATCAGAAAAACCTGACTGAATCTCATTCCGGTATCACTCTGCTTCTCGTTGTCCCCCGATGGATAAAGCAACTTTTCTTCATCGGCTCATATATTCGGGCATGAAGATCTAAACGTGAAAACTCCTGTTGTGGACTGCCTCAAAGTCGTGGGTATAGGGTTCATATTGTCGACCCTAAGCACTTCTAGAACCCTTACTGGGATACCCAGTAACCTCAGGAAAAAAAGGCTTCTCTTTTTGGTATTGGGTAACTTTATAAGGAACCTAGGACTACAAAAAGGGAATAAGGGTACTACTGGGCATCCTAGCACTTCTAGAACCCTTACTGACGATCCCGAACAGGAACCCTAAACAACCCTGAGAGAGGAACCCCCCTGCCCCAACCGGCTCCCTCTGATTCTTGTTGTACTTCTTCATAAACTCTTCGAAGACATCGACCTCACCCTGCCATGCGAAGCGCCGTTGATGGCTTAGGGTTTACAGGGTTTCGGGTTTATAATGGGGTTTAGGGCTTAAAGCTTAGGGTTCCTTCCCCTGGTTCTTTCAGGGGCTCAAGTGTTTAGGCTTTTCGGTAGGGCTATGGGCTCACATTGGGCGATTCGGTAAGTTTTCGATGTAGCCCTGCGCCAGATAGGAAATACCCAAGTCTCGTATGCAGTAGGACGGCTTAAGTACACTGTTTCTGAGCATCTCAGAAGCTGGATGACGGGCAACCCCGAAAATCAAAGACCTTGATCCTATGTAAGTACACCCGAACTGGAGCTCTGAGCATGTCCAGGGTATGCTTGCGAAGGGACCAGCACCAGCACTGAATCATCATGTGGGTAGTTGTCAAAATTAGGGTCCCTTTTTGGGTACCCTAAATATTAGGTGCCGTACTATAATAGGGACCCAAAAAGGGACCATAATTTTGACAACCACCTATGTGAAAACCCTAAACCCTAAACCCTAAACCATGTGAACTCTCATCTGAGCTTTCGCTGTGTGGGCGTAATGCGGTTGCGGCTCTGCCGGCCTGGGCGTATCTTGCGCCAAGGGTTCCGGCTCAGTGGCACTGTGGTCGAGCCCTGAGCTCGGGGCTACTCTACTGGATTACGCTGAGTGTCGAATGAGCTCGTGTGTCAGCTCTTTGCCGTAGTCCTTCGCTCTGATCTGGCGTCATACTCGGGATCATGACCTTCACCGGCACTTTGATTAGAAGTATCGCTAGTCGCTAGGATCATCGAGATATTCCGCTGATACCGAAGAGATCTGAAGTTCCTATATGGGACATACTTCCCATCATCGTATCGAGCACATACAAGTTTCAATGAGGTAAGCGGCCCCAATACAGACTCCTGAGGCAATCTAATCTTTTTACGACCTCCTGATACTCATTCTTTACAATAGGGTCTTTGGGATTTAGGATTTGGGGCTTGGGGTTTAGGAAAAAGATGGAAAAGGGGGTGTAGTTGAGGTTTCGAGGTTTGGGCGGCTTGAAATCTCTGCCGCTGCAGGTGAGCTTGTTGGGGCGTAGAGGCCAACCCCAAAGCTCTAAAGCAATCTGCCCAGAGCGTTAGGCCCTGAACCCTAAACTGCGACTTTCAGCCCCGACGGGAGCAGTGCGCACCTTTCCTAAACCCCAACTTTCCGTAGTGCTTTATGGTCCGCTCTCATAAAGAAGCCCACCCCAAAGAGTCCATGTGCCACTATCGTAGGCTCTTTGCAGGTACGCAAGCAGCACCCCATCCTCCGGTCCTTCAGGGTTTAGGGTTTAGATTTCAGGGGTTTAGGGCTTAGGGCTGAAGATCTGTGCAACCTTCAAGAAACCCCCAGAGAAACAATCCAAGACCCCCATCTCAAAATCCTGTCTAAACTTTAGACCCTAGTGTAACCCTTGAAGGACCATACTCGAGCCAGTTGCCAGCCTCAGCCTTTTGCGGCTTCTTCTTGGGCGGCATGTTGGCGGCAAGGGGACGGAAGAAATGCGGGAAAACAGACAGAAGTGCCGAGGCCTCATGTAAGGCTATAGGGTCTCGGGCTTTTGAGGAGCTGGGGCTTTATCGCTTTTTGAAGCCAGTTAGGCTTGACATTATCGGTTCTTAGCTCAACAACAGTGGTGCAAAGTGGCGATCCTGCTCCAAGTTAAATCTGATATCCCAGTTGAGCGAAACTTAATCCCTCAATCGAGGCACTGTGGAACCAATCTCAGATCCTCAGCCCTCAACATCGAGAGACGCTGGGCAGACTGACTGCATGCCGGCGGAGGTTGTAGCGGCAGGAAAAGTCAACCATTTCTTGCGGGTTTAGGGCTTGAGGGTTTTTCGTTTAGGTTTAATAACCTACTGCCTGATCCCTAAGTAAGATGTGTCGAGGAGCTTCGCCATTTAGGCTCATAACCCCCTAAAACCGTAAACTCCTGGACCGTATCAACCCTAAACCTGACAGGTACACATTACAAAAAGGTGTACTGAGACTAGAGTTCATGCATTCCGGGACTACTTAACGTGTGCCGATTAGTCATAGTCGAGCCTTTGAAAGGGACGGGGTGAACCGTAAGTACCAAACTACCTCTGACAGCTATCTACCTGTGGGGCAGGGCTCACTGCCGATGGATTGACATTACTGAAGGGGCTTTAACAATTTTAATAGGGTTCTGGGGGTATATTATACTAAAAGGAACCCTCACAATGGTGTTGGCAATTATTTAGGCCCCTATATTACTGTACCATAGCTCTGCTGGGGGCTACGAGCACATGAGTTCTTTCTACTTCTTCCGACATCCTGCAGTACTAGGACCTTCTCCTTGATGCCTGGTGGTTTCTATGCGACGCTAGTTAGTCTGTGAAAAAAGACTTAACAGGGGCTTGGGTTGCAGTTTCGTAAAGGTCTGAATGCCCAGTAACCGTATCACGGTATACTTTCTCATCCAGACATAAGTCTTAAAGCCCTCATCTCATCATTCGGGACCCCCTACGAAACCCGTGTAGCCCATGTTGAACCCTTTCAAAGCACCCTATAAAAAACCCACTCTTAATATTGAAGAAGCCTAAACCCTAAACCCTCAACCCCAAACCAGTAGAGGCCCCTATGTACTATACTAGCCACTCCTACGGACTGGGCGCGCATCGTTCGACTCTCAAGCTTTGGGTGAGGCCATTCAAGGTTTAGGGCTCGATTTCCACGACAGTGCCCTTTAACAAAGCACTTCTCCTTTACGCAGGGTTAAGGGTAGAATAGAGGGAAGCTGCGCGGTCTAGGTTGGGTCTGAGGGTTGAGTGTTTTGGGTTTTGGCTCGGTGTGTTTAGGTCTCGACTACGCATTGCGCATCCAAAAAAAGGGTCTCGAAAACCGCGGCTTGGAATCAGGACCCCAGCGAGATTCGCCCTAGTTTGCGGTTTGGCGTCAGCATTGGGCTGAGGAAACTCCGTAGCCCAAGCCCTGAAGGTTTCGGGGCGCTTGAAGGTTTAGCGGCCTGGCAAACGGCAACCAGAAATCTGGAAAGACCATACCCTAAGGCTCCATGTAGCCATATAGTATATACTTAGGCCTAAAAGTACCTACATAAGGACACCTTTGAGGTTTGAGTATCCACTATAAGGGTACATGGAGCATTTGGGATAATGTGGCTGCAAATTCACGCCAAACCTTAACCCCGATTGCGGACTCTGCTTAAGAGTTCTATGCCGATTCCTTCTCGGGCTTCCCCTAAGGGTCTTTGTGCCCAGATACGGTTGATGATATAAATCCTGCGTTACAATCAGGATCCTAAACTATGGAAATAATGGTATGTTCCGTATTAAAGGTAATGCAGGATTTATATCATCAACAGTAGTGTATACTTTCGCCCCAAAGCACCTCTATAGGGGAATCCTTTACGGGCAAAGTATATACTAATTAGTTGGGTACATGGACCCTCCAGCCCTAAACCCTATTGTAGAACCCTCAAAGGAACCCCTAGATGAACCCTTCAGGTACTCTTACTTCGGCACACGGACCCTGAGGGTTCTACAGGGGGATCTAGACGCGCGCCCCTTTTGTTTGTTCCTCTTAAAGCTTCCTTTGGAGGCTTTAGACCTTAGAATCCCTACACCCTGGATCCTGTGGAAGCATTCCGGGGTTTATGCAGGGCTTAAGGTGTGCGCCTGTAGCCCCTTCGTAACAAGGGTGCCCTTTTTCCAGATAAGGAGGCCACCATAAACAAAAGGACAAAAGCATGCTACTGGGAGACCCTAAACCCTGAACCCTAAACCCTCCTACAGTAGAAGCCAGAAAGTTGGAACATCAGTAGCCTCATGCCCTTAAAGTAAAGTCAGCATGAATCATCCTAAATCCATGTTCCAACTTTCTGGGGTTCACTAAAGTTCCTCTTTGGACTTCTCGTTACTGAAAGGCTCATGGGACTTAGTAAGTAAGGTTATAAGTGGGTTATAATTAGGATAACCCCACTTAGGGGACTTATAACCCCAATTACAACCTACTTACTTATAAGTCCCATGATCCTCTAAGTACCGTCGTAAGCCTAGAACCTCAACCTGAACCTGACCGGAAAAGCCCCAAAGGCCTCTGCGTGCAAATTGCAGCCATGTGCCCGGAACCCTAAACCTTGTAAGCCCTGAGCTAAACCATAGACTTAAACCCTAAATCCCTAAAGGCCATAAATCCCTATAAATCCCTAAACCCCAAGCATACCCTGAGCTTATGGTTTCATTTGGGGTGCATTGGCGTCCGCGGCTCAGGTCCTAACCCACCCCACCCCCCCACCCTCATATAGAGAAGGTCGTTCAGGTTTTCGGGTCGGTGTTTGCTTGATGAAAACGCAGTCTGCCCAGGTCTAACGGTTTCGGAATTGGATTTTTGCTCAAATGTGCCGCGCAAGTCCCAGCATTGGGGAGTAGATCGCAGCAGCGACCAGCATGATGCAACCTTGGCGCAGCAGGTACATGCAGCGTGAGAGACAGTACTTGAAGGTAGAAGGTTGTGTTTGTGTTTGTGTGTGTAAACTGTTTCGACATGTGGCAACCGGATGGAAATTGATACTACAGCATTCCTCGGAAATTACTGGTAGATCCGGCGACACTCTTGAAAGGTTCCGTTGATTCACTTAGGCAGCGCGCAGTGGCTCTACAAAAATGCCGTGCTTACTTGGTACATCAAAACCCCAACTCTAAAATCCTAAAGCCGTGCTTATGTCGCACATCACAACCCCAACTCTAAAATCCTAAAGCCGGAACCGTAAAATTCTACAGCTAAACCTAAACCGCAAAACCGAAACCCTACGATCCTAAACCGAAAAATCCTAACCCCAAAACCCTGATCCCTTATCCTGCCATGACACGTAGCTTTCTCTGCTGTCGTAGGCACAGCTCTACCAGCTTGCAAATTTCACTGTGCAGACTTACGGCTAACAGAGCGGTTTAGAACATCCGTACTTAATACAAATATTAGCCGGTTCTGGTCGCAATATTGTAGTACGTACTCCAGTATACCCCAAGCCCTATTCTACTTATAAAGGCCAACATACTATACCGTTATAGTAACCGTTCTAGAACCTTGTGAAAGAACTCTCTAGACTAATTATCAACTCTTCTATACAAGGGTCAACATGGTTCGGTGTTTCAATCCGCCGGGTGCACTGCAACGGCAGAGTTTTTCTCACGCATGCAGCAGGGCTTTCAAAGAGTAAATATATAGCGAACCCCAGAAAGTAGGAACGTGGGATACGTAAGGGATAACGATGAATAGTGCGAGGATTCCTCATGCGTTACCTTAAGGGCATCCGAGCAATCATGTTCCAACTTTCTGGCTTCTACTATATAGGCTATGTAGTGGAAGGGTCCATGCCTTGCATGGTGCTTCCAGCAAGCTGAAGCGCTCTGTCGATGTCGCCCAAAGATTGTTGAAAGGCTTTGGAGCTTCAGAACAGACATGGTTTGCAATGGATATAGACGCTCGGGCTCAAGATTCAGGGTTAGCTAAACCCTGAAGAAGTGTACGTAATGGTGCCCTAATAGTTCTCTCTCTGGGTTGACGTGCAGAGCGTATTCCGTTGACGTTGGAACGACTCAGCCGCACAAAGAAACATTAAAACTTTAATCCCTAGAAGCTTTAACATTAAAGTGCTGTAACCCAAAACCTGGAAACTCAATAATCCCAGGGCCCAAACCTAGTAGAATCCTTGTCAGCTTTCGTTTAAAAGCCCTAGGACACTAAACTCACTGAGGAGCCTTGTCCGGTATTCTGGAGTGCTCACTGCACGGCACGAGCTTCGTGTGTACTATAGAGGCCTTAAAACAAGAATATCGAGTTCCCCTGACTTCGTATAGGGGCTTTGTAAGCTTTATGTAAAGTCTGTACAGTTACAGGGACCGGGTTGCACTGTTTATTTTGGTACTACAACAACGGGGAACTTTTAGGCAAGCTCAGGCCTCTATATCATCTCGATCGCCAATGAGCTGAGCCAAGCTGTCGAGAGCATCCAAAGCAGCGGAAGTGAGGCTTGCTTGACGGACAGACTGTGCATCCTCAACAGAAGGAAAGTGGGAAGGTGCGGGTTGTAGGGTCCAGGGGTTACTGTCGTAGGCGGGATGTTTACAACACCTAGCTAATGGCAAGGATAATCAAAACAAAAGCCCGAAACTCTGAGCCCTAAACTCTGAGTCGTCTGCCTGGCTGTAGGGTTGAGGGTGTAGGGTTAAGGACGATTACGTGCAACTTAATTTGATATGGCAAAGATGTTTCTCACAAAATCGTGGGTTCCTCTTGTCGTAACTTGAATAAATGACAAGCACACGAAACACAGCCCAGCTGCCCGCACACCACGTTTGCGCTTGGGGCCTGCAGGGAGTGGAGAGAAAAGGACGAGAAGTGTGTCTCCGTCGCAAATTCCGCACTGATACACATCGTCTGTGTCTACCTAAGTTGTCCTTTAAGCATATTGAAAATGATTTACTATTAAACTCTACAAAATAGTAGGGGAAATAAAAAAGATCCCGAAGGACAACCCAGCTACAAGATGGCTGCCGTTGTACACCAAGTCAACCTGGCGGTTATCGAGCATGTCGTCATCACACCCCTGATGCGTCTCCTCGGCGGGCAGGACCTCCTTGATCTGGATCATGATGTCCATAACCAGGTCCCACTCATTCACGACGAGCGAGGTCGACTTCCCGGATAGCTGAAGCAAGTTGATGGTGATGGCATCTTTTGCCACGCTCATCTCGGACATTCCGCTATGCTGCTCTCGGCCGTAGCATGTTCTGCTGCTTGAGAATAAAAAAGCTAAGCCGGGCAAGACTGGTGTTCTCATAGGATTGCGCTGGATCAACAGCAATGGCAAGCATGTTGTCGCCAAGGCGGTTGACACTTGACCTAGCCTTCCCGTCTAGGGTTTAGGGTTTGGGGTGTCTTGAAGCAAGCGTGATGAATGGACATGGGGCAAGTGCATGAAGAGAATGACTCAGCTAATACATGTTGTAAGTTAGATGCAGACCCGAAACCCTAGACCCGGTGGGCACCTGCACATGCAATGCAGATGGCTCGACCTGCTAACTAGGAGAAGGAGATAAGAAGTTGGTGGTGAAGTCGGCGTGGTCGGATACTTCGTACGCCTCAAAGTGCTAGATGGATTTGTGCGCATAAAATACCAAGATCGTTAGCGGATGAAGCACCCGGAAAGTGCCATAGCTGACCGTAGTGCTGACCTTCAGGACGAAGTAGCCTTGAAGGCACGGTCCTGGAACACTTTGACACTAGTTCCCTGCACGGGAACTGAACACTACGATGTTGTTTTGAGGATTCATACGGTCCATAGGGACAGGTCTGTCTCGGTTGTTCGTGCATGCTGGGGCCTTCGTTTCGGGTTGCTGCATAGCAATCTGCGGACCCAGCATGTACGATTAACTTATACCTGTCTCTTTCTTCTTTCCACCTATCTATCTATCTGTCTGTCCGTCTGCCTATGTGTCTACCGTTGAGATTTGACCTGTCTATCTGTCTATCTATCAATCTGTGAATCTCTCTCTCCGCCTGTCTGTCTGTTTGCCTATCTGTCTATCTGCCCACTTGTCTGCCTATCTATCTGTCTATCTATCTAAAACCTATATACCTGCCTACCCACCTAGCTACCTACCTATTATTGTCGATCTATACATGTTGGAACTCGGAGGACAGCCTGGTCTCCGAACCCCAAAGCCTCAAACTTAAAACACTTTGCCGAAGCCTGTCAACCCCATGTACAACAAACCACTGCATACCACATAAAGTCCAGGAAAGCTCTCACAGAACTCACTAAATGGGGCGGAAAATCTAAACCTCCCAACCCCAAGTCCCAAAAAACCTCTAGAGCCCTACACAATAAACCCTCAGCCTAAACCCCAAAAAAACTAAACTCAAAACCCTAAACCCTAAACCCTACCCTTTAATGGCGTGCCATTTTTTTGGTGCATCCCGGCCCCCAGGTCCAAACCGAGCCCAGCAGCCCGTGACAGCGAAGCTGGCTCGGAAGCCGAGCTGGTCGACGAGCACGCCGCCCACGGCGGCCGAGCCGGCCCACCTTAGGGTCCACTGTTTAGGGGTTTAGGGGTTTAGGGTATAGGGGTTTAGGGTACAGGGTTTAGGGGTTTAGGGTTTAGGGGTTCAGGGTTGTATAATATGTATAATGGGCTCCTGTAAAGGGTTCCATACAGAGGCCTATTAGGGTTACTTTAGGGTTAAATGGTATCGGTATAGGGGCCTGAACAATGGTATATGGGCCCTAATGATTAGAATCGGGTGTTGAGGGATTTATGGCACGGCTATCATAAGAGCCCTACGGAATAGTATTGCTAATTGTCAGGGTTGTATATGGACATGTTCAAGGCTTGGTTTGATTAAGCGATTGGGTTGTTTATGGCTTAGGGTTTTAGTGCTCAGGTCTTTCGGATCTGTAGGGCTTTAGCGTTTCGGGCTGTATAGTCTTCGAGATACGAAAATGCTTGATGCTTAAATGCTTGCTAAAAGATGTCTTTGTCGGTTCAAAATTTCGCTGACCATGCTGTTGAAAGTTTATCTCTCCTGTTGTTGAAGGCCTTCTTGGTTTTGGTCTTAAGGTTTGTTCGTGCTCGCCATGTTGCTGGCTTGTAACACCCCGAGAATAAAGCAACTGCACCAGGGCTTGGGGACAAGACTTAGGGTTGAACAGGTACATGCCTAGGCTCCTGTTCGAGGGGCTTTGCTACTAGGCTGCTATGAGCCTAAACCCTAAACCCTAAACCCTAAACCTTAAACCCTAAACCCTAAACCCTAAACCCTAAACCCTAAACCCTAAACCCCTAAACCCTAAACCCTAAACCCTAAACCCTAAACGGTTCAGAGCAATGTTTTCAAGAAGCTCAGGTTTCTCTCTGACCCTGAAGGGTCTCTTACGTCCTTGGAAGGCATGTTTCTCACTTCCACCGCTTCGACTGCGGCGAAGGCGCGCTTTGAGGTCTCTTTCCCATGTTTAACTTATCTTTCCTTTTATTGGACAGTGGCTTATGGTGTCTTCATTCGCATTAAAGATGCCTGTTGACGAAACAGGGGTCCTGCACTGTGTATAGAGATGTGTAAATGAGTGTTCTTGTAGGGGTTTCAGTTTCTGGTTGGGCTACTTTCGGGTTTAGCGACGATACTGCAGATCGCCTAGTCATGTGGTAGTCAGTAGGGGAAGGCTCATCTTTGTGCGTCATAGGCGCTTGTAAACATCGATTTCTATGTGTGAGCAACCGTGGTTGCTATATAGGCTCAATGTGGATACATGTATATACTTAGATTTACGCTGTACGTGCACATTCCCGTAAACTATCTATAAATGTTGTTAAGACCGGAAACAAGTACAAGGACCAATTTGACCAAGGTGAAAAGAGAGGAAGCCCCGACTTGGCATCAAACTCGAAAGGGTGGACATAAGTATATATAGTATAATGTGCCCCCAAACCTTGTTCTAATTATTAAAAGCCCCTATATTATAGTGCCCTTATAAATCCGTCGCTAGGGTGGACCTGAAACGGCTACAAGCAAAAAACGACCTCAAGAACATAGAACCTGCTGCACAGAGATCACACATCAGGGGGGATCCCCAACAATGAACTTACCAGGACTTGCCAGGGCCCCCCGTCTTCAGCGACTACTTTGTGGAACGCTTAATCCTGTAGAGCCAGTGACCATGCTTGGATAAGAGAGTGACATGGGATGCTCCGATGAGAAAAACAGTCTCCAACTCAAAAACTCAGTCGCAGGTCTAAGCACACCCTTGACCCCGCATTCAAACTTTGCAGCCTGGTCATCCAAGAAACGTGGCACGGTTCAGGCTGCTAACCGCGGCCCAACGGCCTGTGCAAATGCAGATGGTTCCTTTATGAAAATCCTGTGCGCGCCCTACATAATCCTTGCGCCCTATAACCCTACAGGCAAGGACCCGTAACTCTAGAACCCACACTCGTGGCGCAAGTTCCCACGACCCGGATTCCACGACCCTGTTGAAACGGGGGAATATATTCCTTGTCGAAAAATCGTAGGGCCTGGTGGACGGCAAAACCAGCATAAACCGGAAACTTAGAACCACAAACCGGGTGACACCAGCGAAAGCCCCAAAACACCATAACATGCAAAAGCTCCATCCATGCACAAGGCCTAAACCCCAAAAAATATCCAAAACCCGAAACCCTAGAACTACAATTTTGGAGCCCTGTTTTTAGGACTTCCATACACCCCTCCTTCAAAAAGAAACAAAGCATTTTTCAAATCCCAAAAGAAGCCTTATAAGACCTGAGTGAGACCCTGGCAAAACCCCTGGACCCGTCTTCATGAAAGCGTAAACCCGAAACTCCAGACACCAGAATCCTCAATCTGGAACCACTGACAAACCAAACTCACCCTAAACCCCCAACGACAACAACCCCAAGCCGCGCTAACCGCTGGAGTGAAAGGCAAAACCCTGTGAAGCCCTGACAGGCCTTGAGCCGCAAACCTGGAACACTATAACACCTATAAACCTTAAACCTGCACCGATATAGACCCCCTATAGATCTCTAGATCCCTGAAAAGAACCTAAACCTAGAAAGGCGGCCCCACGATGGCCTCGGTGCTTTGGCAGCGCGTAGTCCATGGTAAGGGCCTGAAAAGCGCCGCTGAAAAAGCTTGGAAGGGTTGAGGTTTTAAGGGTTTAGGGTTTAGGCCTCAGGGTTTTTAGGGTCTTTGAAGGGCACTTTGCAGGGTTTGGAGGATTTTACTTGGCTTGAGACGGCTGAGTATGATCTTTGCAATTCAATTCGCCTTTCTGAGGGCTTGGAGAGTAGCACAGATTACCGGTTCGGTCGGACTCTATGAGGCTTACAGAACTCCAGATGGCTTCAGAGGCAAACCATGGCAACACGTTTAGTGGTCTTCGTGATTTTTGAGATCCGCCCAGCAGATTCCTACACCCCTCTGAAAGGAGATCAACTGCTGCAGGGAGTATCCGGGTGAATCTAGGGCTACCACGCGATAGCCTGAGACCTGAGACACTCAAAACCCCTAGACCATGAAGTGCATGGGCATGATATAAGACCCTTACCATTTGGAAGTACTTCGGAATAACTGTAACAATAATGATAATAATAGTATGAAAACTGATGATGACAACACTAGTCAATATTCAATAGTCGTGACACTAGCGTAAATTATCTTGCTAGAACAACAAGAAAGTCCAGATAATGAACATACTAGCCAATGAAAATACTCGCAGCAGCAGCAGCAACAACAACAACACCATTGATGATACTACCCAAACAACAGTAAGATTGGCAATAAGGATGACAACAACAACAACAAGAACAACAATAACAAAACAACATAATAGTGCATATAACAATAGTGGCAATAACGATAGTAGTAATATCAGCATCGGTATTCGCAAGGGTAACAGTACTAGTAATAGTAATAGTAGTGTTCGTACTTATGGCAGAAATTAACAGACTTAATAGACATCATGATAGCAAAAAAGTAATAGTAAGGGACGGGAAAGGAAATATTACAATAGTACTCGTAAAAGCAATAATGCGATAAGGATTCTGATAGTCGTCACATTGATACTCATATCAGGAGTAATAAAAGCAGTCAGAAAAAGGGTAACGAATAAAAGGACAAAGACTATTTGGCACAACCCTGAACACCTCAACATCCTGAAACCAGCAAGGCAAGACACGGTGTTCAGCGCGAAGTGCGCCTTGGCTGCTTTTAAAGTTCCGTCGGTTTGCGCGGAGTGATCCTCCAAAGCCTTTTCCCATGTCCTAATCGCCGATGGCATCATGCATCAGCAGTTCCCCCCCCTGCACAGCGAATACAAATCAATCGTGATGCTGATGCAGGTCATTTTGCATGAGATGCTACATGCGCCGTACCGTGTTGGTCATTGTCTTAGCGCCATTCAGCCACTCTGGCAAGTACTGAACATGGGCGCCAAGATTTTGGCCTTCTGTTCCGGACAAGCCGACAAGCTAAATCCCAAACTCATGAACCATAAAGCCTAAAACCCTAAATCCTAAGACCCCGAACCCTGAAGCCCTTCAAACCTAAAGCCCTAAACATGACCTCATCCCTCAGCCTTTCCAAACGATGCCCACCCTAAACCCTATACACACCAAACCCTTCAGTCACCCTGAGGCCCAAACCCTCAAAACCCTGAGCAAGGCAGTGAACCCTGAACCCTAAACCTCGAACCCTAAACACCCCCGAACCCCAAAACCCTGAAGGTACCCCTAGCCCCTTACACCCTGAAAATTCGACCCTAGAGCTGTTAGGGGTCATGCTGAGCCCCAGGCCCTGAGGGCCGCACTGCTGGGTCTTGGGGTTCTATAAAGCGCCCTTGTTGAAGATCGGTCTTCGAAGCCCAAGCCCTAAGCCCTTAGGGTTCAGATTCAGGTTTCTGTGTGTACGTGTGTGTGTGTGTGTGTGTGTTTCTCTTACGGGCACTTTTTCCAACTGCAAGTGCTGCTGATATCATGGAGGTCGGGGGAGCCTTTTTGCAGGAGCCTTCTGAACCCGTACAGCAAGATGAAGTGCCCCTAGCCCTAAGGTAAAAGCCAGAAAGTTGGAATATGATTATCCTAACCCTTCTATGGTAAATTATAGGGTATCCTACCATGAAACCATATTCCAACTTTCTGGAGTTCCCTATAGACCAATCTGAGGCTCCTGCAAGCACATGCTTGAGCTGTCAACGACTAAGTAGCAACACTAGTCAGAAAACAACTCAATCCCTCAGCTCTGCATGCTGATTCCCGGCACAACTGTGCTTCGGGAAGAAACAATGGGTCAGTCTCCGCCTTGGTGACTCGACAGCTTCATTACAACAAACTGGGATGTCAAACCGTTGCAGACACTGACTTGGAAGAGCTTCGCAACCAGAGTTCGAAGAGTGGAGGCACTTTCAAAGCAGCTTACCTTACCAAGACCATTGGAGAACCCAGGACTTCAAGTACCTGCCACTTGTCATGTCGTCAGCCATACGTTTGCAAGTATGCTCGGCCCTGGCACTGCCTGTTAGGGTGAGGATGAGTAGGTTTAGGAAGGGCCGGCACCACAACGACACAATTAATCACTTGTATCCGAGGAAGAGTTTAGTGTCGGTCCGTTCAGCTCTCTGTAGCGCCGTGTCTGACGTGTAGCATGATACTGTAGGCGCCAGAACCTCTGGAACCCTAAGCATGCTTGAGGATCCTCTGAGTGTCTGCCAAAAACTACTTCGAAATACCGAAACAACGCTGTAACATGCTGTAACTGTAACAAAAACCCAGAGGTGGCAATCACGAGAATGCCTACATGACTCGTACTGCTGGAGCACTAGCCTCGGCCAGGTACGAATTCGCACAAGCTTCACTTTGTGCACTGCGAGGTCCAGCTGTGATCATTTTTTGAAGCCTCGCAAGGCATTCCAAACACGGCGGGTAAGTCCTGTCACTGCGTTGCTGTTCCTGAATTCCTGCAAAGCTTGGTGCAGAAGCTGCCGGCGCTGGGTACTCATTGCTGCTATGCGCGCCTGCATCTGCTCGTCACTCACATCTCGAAATTTCAGGCCGCCAAAGATTGCTGACACAAAAGCTTCCGCAAAAACTCCGTCCGGTGCAAGTTCTCTCGTCGTCAACTCTGACAGTATGGCCTTGAGCTTGGAAGATCGAGCCCCGTCAATGGGCCCTGGTCAGACTTGTAAATGTTATCACCGACGGCTCTAGATCCCTTTGCAACATCTGCTCGTACACATACATAGCAGCCGATGGGCTTGGCGGGTCGGCCATCCTGCAAGCATTGATGGCAGAAGTGAAAGCGGGAAGATCCGGCTCTAAATCGTGGGTGATCATGAAGTCGAGACCCTCTGCTGCTCCGGGTATGTCACCCATGCTCGCCGCAGCATCGATGCGTGCAGCAACAACCAAGTAAGTGGTTTACCACACCTTTGTCAACAGCTTCAGACCAGATTGCTGCAACTTCCCTTTGGCGACCCAACTTGCCAAATATTTTCAAGCCTCGATGCGAAGTGACAGGATCCGCGCTGAATCCTGGCAAAGCTCGTATTTGTTCATAGATGTTTGCCGCATCTTCATAGTGTGCACAATGGAAAGCTGCTTGCATGGCCGCGCGGTGCACTGTTGCAGCACTTCCTGTATATTTGCGCCAAAGCCAGGAGACCTTCGACCAGTCTCCTTTTCGCCCTGCATGGGCAAGGCTGCTGGTTAATTTCTTCTCGTCCTCTGTCAGCTCATCGCTGAAAAGCTCTTCGCCCTCGAGATTGCCAACGATGCTTCGCCCATGTTCTCTCAGCACATTGATCGGAACTTGCTTGTGGCGCGATACACTAAAGCTAAGTGAAGGGATGGATGTCAAACACCCAATCAGGAACAGTGTTGTTGCCAGCAGATGGTGGAGCGATGTGCTGCAGGACATAGCACACAACGGAGTCTGACCAATCTTCTTTATTCTGTTCTGACGTCTGTGACGGTTGCGAGTTTCCACCCCTCAGCCCGTACACCACGCGAACCTCAACCATGAACCTTCGCGACACAAGTACCAACTAGACCCGGCACCGACTACCCTGCGCCCTCCAGGAAGGAAGCCTGACGGTCAACAACCTCAGTCTGCAAGAATGAGCCTCAAGTCCGCAACAATAAGACACCACAGAACCCTTGTTATAGAATCCCTTCAAGAGTCTAAGAGTGCGTATAGGTCCCACAGGGTGCACTCACATAGAACCCTTGTAGAACCCTTTAAAGAATCCTTACCACCCCGACTTTAAAGAGCCCCAAATGTCCGCCCACCGAGGGCCCATATGGGTCATCCCTGTTGTGGCTTCAGGGGCATAGGGAGACTAGCTAAGGACCCTTTTGGCCAGGGTGCATTCATGGAGACCGGGCGGAGCTCAAAACTCACGAGGCTCCAAGACAAAGGGCGGGTGAGAATGAAGAGAAACCTTAGGTTAGAAGAGGATTAGAAGGGTTGTGAGGGTGTTAGGGTTTAGGGCCAGGGATTTTCATCGTTTAGAGGCTGAGGGTTTTAGGGTTTAGGGCGTTTAGGGTTTTAGGGTTTAGGGGTTTAGGGGTATAGGGTTTAGGGTTTTAGGGTTTAGGGTCTGGGGATCTTGGGCTTGTAAGGTTTACGAAGCGTTCTACCGAAGAGAAACCTTTGAGGAAGTAGGACTACTGGGTTAGCGCTGAGGGTTCAGGGCTCGGGGTATGAAGAGTTCATTCATCTCTGGGCTCCGGGTTTAGGATTCAAGCAGCGTTTTGGGGTTACATAAGGGCAAAGAAGGACCGGAAGCCTTTGTGTGGAACTAACAAGGCCTGTACCAGGTTAGTGGACGGCTGAAAAGCTCACGGCTCGCATCCACGGGGCTCTTGGTGGGTTCACCGATTTGGCTGTTTCGGGGGAAGACAGATTTCGGGCTTCCAGAGTTTAGAGTTTAGCTTTTTAAGGAGTTCAGGAGTTTCTCTCGGTTTGAAATTCAACAGGGGCTCTAGAGGAACCGATGGAAATAACTGACAGGGAAACTATGGATCTTAAATCACACCATACAAGTAGAAGGTCCAGTGAGCATTCCTAGGGTTCAAAACAGCAAAATTGCTTGTGCGTAAGCCCAGACGCAGAAGGGCAACACCCATAAGGTGCAGCGTCAGCACCGCAACAGCTCTTCGGCAACGAGTCCTCGGTTGGCGATGTGGGTTTGTAGCTTCATCGCAAAACGGTTAAACGCACAAAGACGTTTAGAAAAATCAAAACTTTAAGCCCTCAACGCGAAAACCCGATGGCCCTAAATGCAACGGCCTCTTAGCTCAACACCAGTTTTGTGGGGCTTTGGCTTTTCGTCACAACTGTATCGAACTATGTTTGGGGCTTAGAAGTTGAGGGATTTAGCTTGAATCAATCAAGGACACCGATGCATCGTCTCTGGGCAGAAGGATGTAGCAAAAGAAGGCGGGTTTACGGTAGCCCCAAAACCCTGGAGGTTCTGGGGCCCGAAGGTTCGAAGGTCTGTGGGGTTAGAGCTTGGGGGTTTCAAGTTCAAGATTCAGTATGCTAGAGGCTCAATAATAAGTGCCAGGAAACTCCCAACCCACTCACCCGCCTTCGGAGCTCAAGTTCATGGTATGAAGTTCAGCTTGAAGGAACCTACGACCTATTGAGTACTTCGGCTGCTTCAGTAGCACTGGCAGAAAATCCCGGAAAAGGCCTTATAACCATAGCCAGGCTCTAACTTGTCATTGTACGAGCACGCAAACCACCGACCCCAAAGTGTCTAGCGCCTCTGACCCCTAAACTCAGCATGGGTCCTCAGCCCTCCGCTCAGAGCTCAGAACTGTCGGTTACAGAGAACCTCTTCCATGAAAAGTAACAGCGTGATAGGTATGAAAGAACGTGGATTACTCTTGAGGTTTAATCGGTAAGATGCTAACCAAATACCTTTACCCCCAACCGAAACGCCTAATACCTCAACCCCACACCCCGAAACCCCAACCATACTCTAAACCCTACAAGAGGCAAAAGCATTCGAGCGAGAATCAAAAGTCCGACCACCTTCGTTCCAACAGCCGTCGCCAGCCAATATCCTGTCACGCCCAAAGGGTCCTAAGTAACTATACTGGGGATACTTGCCAAAACCATGATCGTAATTGCCACCATCGAAACCCTGCTTACTACTATAGGTACATAGGGCCCTTTGCGACGAAGCTTCGACGCTTCTGCTCAAGGACCTAGACGGCTTCGGGTGCCAAGTGCGCTGCTTGTCCAACTTGCTGAGGGGAGTCAACGTGAACTTTGATGATAATGCAAGGTTAATACTACCCCAGAAATTGGAAGGTTAACATTTATTGACCCTACTACGCGCGCTACCTTTAGAGTTAATAAAATACCCTGGCTTTTATTGCGCAAAGAACACCCCTGACAATTGACTCACTGAGACTTACCAAAAGCCCTATATCCCGTCACCAAAGCGCAGATTACCCAGACCTTCCAAAATCCCTTAATTAAGGAATATCCCTTAACATATAGTAGGATCCTTAATATGATTTAAAGGTATATTCCTTAATTAAGGGGTTTTGGAAGGTCTGGGTATCCCCACTTCCGAAGAACCTACTGAAGGAATCGGCTCAGACTTGGGCCCACGGGTTCCAGAGCCTTTCAAGGATTCGTTTCGCTTGTTCTTGTAAGGGTTCACTGAAGATTGAAGATTTATGGCCATGATTTATGATGTGAGGGTTTAGGGCTTAGGGTTTAGGTTGTAAGGTTTGGGGAAGTCTTGTCAACACCTAGAAAAGCTCCCTCCGAGGACAAAGTAAGTGCCTTATGCTGAGGCCACATGTAAAGGTGAACCAACATCCTCCATGAGGACTGGGAACTTCTGGGAACGGGCCTGCCATGATCCAACAGATTTCCACGTCGGAGAGCCCGTATTCGCGATGGTAAAAGAGCGGGTAGAACTTGAGAGTGATACCTACAGCAGGCTCTTTTTTGCATAGGTGCGGGGCTTATGCAAGTACTGCTGCACGGGTTCTGTGGGTGTTTGAGGGTTGGGTTGAGGGCCCCGTGATGTAAGGCTTAGGCTTCAGAGTTTGGGACCTTCCAGTGCAAAGGCCCATCACTCCCATCATACAAGTCATGACCGTTTGGGTTGCGTACTACTTTTGCGGTTGGACTCTTGGGGTCATAGGCAGCGAAACCAAACAACTTCATGTTTCAATGCCTAACTATGTGCCGAGGAAAACATGGACTGTCTGCCCGTGGCACGGGCTATAGTGAATCCCAGAAAGTTGCAACATGGGTTTAGGAGGATTCGTGCTAGGATCCCTTATACTTTACTTTAAGGGCATGAGGGGAAAGATGTTCTAACTTTCTGGCTTCTGCTATAGTTTACGGGTTCTATAAGGCCAGGTTTTCCTTTGTGCTAAGATTTTGGGCTGCAGGGGTTCAAACGTAGGGTTTCGGGTCCCGATTAAGAATTTCTCGTAGCTTCTGGCATCCGTCGGCTCTTACATGGGACAACACCCTACCTATCTCAATTAATCAGGGTTGCATCATAACCTGACCCTAAACCGTGAACCTCTGCATCCAGGTAGGGTAATCTATGTTCAACAACGAGGGCCCTGATCCAGCCCACCTGGATTCTGATAACCTACAAGTACCAGTAGCGTGAAAAGGGCATGAATAAAGAGAACAGGCGCACCAGCTTTAGCATGGAAAGACCAGAGAAGGCGAAAACCACAAGCTCCGGAAGAGTGCACCTCCTCCAAGCATGAAGGTGATGTTGAAAGCTGCGATGAGGCCTTCAGGTCATGAAGTTTTGGGGTTCGGGGCGTTCTTCGTCCGCTGATTATGCTGGGGTGAAGGTTTAGGGTTCAGGGTCGGTACGACGTCCCACTGTATTTTGTACCATCGGTTTGTACCATCGAGAAGCGTACCGCTAGCCCTGACCCGTCCGACCCGTCCACTCTACAAGCCCTTAAGAAATGCCCCTTGGAGTACCTAAATCCGGCACCTCAGAACCCTAAAACCATAGCTTTCAGCCTTCAACACGAGGTCCTACACTCTGAATCTCGACTCCTTGAACTCACCAACATAGGGTCTTCGATAACTTGATAATTGGACTAGGGCCACTAGGGTATCCTAGAGCAAACCCTGCACTTCCTAAACCTGAACCCACCCAACTCTTGTGCCGGCCTGGTATTAGCAAGTACTTTGGCACACCGAGGACCTTCTCGCACTGCCGATCGCCTCGCATGGAGCACACGCCCGACTAGGTGGCTATTTACAGATTCCACGTTATATGGTTTTGGGATGTTCAGGGGTTTAGGGTTTCGATCGGCATAGGTTCATGTGTGGCAGGAAGTGAACTAACGAATGATCACAGTGCTTAGCTCCGGATCCCTTTTGCGATACCTCGACCTGCAAGCCCTAATATGGGGCTTCAGTAATCAAAGCCACTCGGAAATCAAAGGCAACTCGGGAGTGTACTCTACAAATCCATGCAAGGATAAGAGGTCATAAACATTGCTACTCATCCAGGCCTGTACTATTTCAAGGGTTTATGAACTTCCAAGGCTCTCGCCATTCTTGAATGGTCTTGTCTACATGTCTACCGGCACCTAATTTCGCTTTGGTTTGCAAAAGTTGCGCTTCCTTCAGCCACTTGCGTGCCAAGCGCTAGAAGACACTACTAGGCCGTGCAAGAATGAAATGAATGGGCTTCGGGGTAGGATATTGTTGATAATCATTTAGGCTTCGATGTTGGCCTCCACCACTAACACAATAACAACTACTCAGAACAGCACCTAGGGACTCACAAGAGATTCCAAAATTCCATATAAAGGTCGGGTTTAGGGGTCGAGGGTTGAAGCTCCGGAAACCTTCAGCTAAGCAGCACCTTAGGTCGTACCGGGAACTAGACCCCAGAGAACAAACTTTTGTATGATTTCCTTATAATTCTGTCCCTGAGGTAGGTTTTTTAGGGTCCAGGTATACATGACTCACTTACAACACCCATAGAACCCATAACGATCCCTTGAAGTTTATCCGGAACCCCAATTGGCGTTGGCGATCTACTTTCGTTTCTGAGGGCCTTGTTTCCCATCTCGCGAGCCTTCCGTTTTGCGAGGGTGTGTTTACGGGTATCGGTTTTTGCTGTGTAGCTTAGGATCTGGTTAAGGGTAACTACTGTATATATATATATATATATATATATATTATATATATATATATGTATCAGATATGTAAGTGTGTATATATATATATATATATAGTATTACATGGACGCCTATGGTAAAGTCTAAAAGGGGGTTTGGGCTACCCTCAACGGGCCAAGTAGCCAAAAGCTCGAGTTGTATAATGGGTACCCAAGCCCATTCACAGCATAGTTTTGGGCCCAAAAGTCTTACTAGTTGGGAACCTAGTCGGGTAATTACTTGAACAAAACCAAACTCTAAATTGCTAAAATCCAAACCTGAGCCCCAAAATCCTCAGGGATTTGCTGCCAGGCGACCAATCTCCGACGAGGCCAATGGCGCGGCGGCACCCGCGGCACTGGCACTGCCGGAGCTGTGCAGGGGCCACAAAAGGACGAGGAAGCACACCTTGGTTTAGGATCAGGCTTTTGATAGGTTATCGTTTAGGCTTGAGGGCTTTAGGGTGCAGGGTTGAGGGTGTGTTGCAGAAGGTTGTGGGAACGCATCCGGCTACTGCGGCCCAGCAAAACTTTTGTAGGCGCATCTCTCTGGATTCCAGAACAGACATACTGTCGCCGAAACCCTAAACCCTGAACCCTGAGCACAGGTGATCAAGGAGTCTGCACGGGTTTTCCAAAAGTTCCAGGGTTTAGTGTACTCACAATCCTAGCTCACCTGTTGCCCAAAACTTGGTAAACGTGCAGATGCGCATATGCGTTGCAGCAATACTTACATCGACATCGAACCGGCAGTGTCATCGAACCGTATCCCCATCGCAGAAAGCTATATCGCCGCCTAAATCGTCGCCGCATGAGATGCAAGGACGATACAAGCAGCCAGCCACCAACCACCAGCCACTGTGGGTGGGGCTGGAGGGCGGGGTGTCGAACAGCGCCGCACCGCCAACAGCAATACCTAGCAATACTGTACCGGTTACAATCGCTAACAACCGCAAACCAATCGAACCAAGGTATTACAACCATGGATGCGGATTCTGAACATGCAGACGGTCAAGCTTGTAAGAGTTTAGGGTCTGGGACTATGATGTATGCTGTGTCTGGGACTGACATAGTCTGCTAGCTGGAATGGTCCAACTTAGAACCGTGGTAGCAGTGATGAACAGCAAGATAAGATATTGGGATTCTCAGCCTGCTATCCTTAGGTCCTTAACTGCAAACCTTGGGTTGGAACACTCCTGAATACCACACTGCACTCAGACCAAGCAGAGCTATACTAGCTGGACAACAGCTTCGGACATTCACGCAAAGACATCCGAAGCCTGACATACAGCATAACCCCAGAAGGTTTACCCAAGGACGATATCGCCAGAAAATTTTTTGGCCTGATTAAGCAAGCCCTGAGGTGAACCGAAGTCATCGCCAAACGGGCCAAGTCGCCAAGCCCAAGTAGCCACCAGCAAGAAGTCTACCGAGTGCCTTGCCTTTTAAGATGTTTAGGGTTTGGGATTTCAGTCGGCTTTAGGGCTCTGAGATTGGGGTATTGGGAGGGTTAAAGGGATGAAGAATCAGGGGTTCGGGATCTCATGTTCTAACTCACCTGCAACAGCCCGCTGTAGCAAATCCAGATCAAATCAAGTCAGGATTGAGGGGTTTAGGGTACACGGCTAGAGGTTAATAGGGTTGTTAAGCCGCAAAGATCGAGTTTTGTGGAGGTCGGGGAGAAAACAAGCTGTCCAGCCTGAGTTACTCAGGCTTTCCGGGCGGCTCGGGGATTGGGGGTTGGTTGGTTTATGCTGTATGCTAGCCCCTACACGGAAACTCTCAGGAATACTGTTGCCAGTCTTCACAAGGGCCATTTATGTTTAACCCTCAAGACCCAGACTTTGTACACACGTAGCAGAAGCTGTTGAGGTGCTGAAGCCCTAGATGAGACGGATACATGGGGTCCAACCCAAACCCCCCAGCCTAAAACGGTACACCTGACAGCCTGAAACTCTGAAACCTGAAGCCCTGAACTGTATCTTAGACTGCATCAACCCGAACCCTGCAACCCCCCCAACCCCAAAAACTTGGTACCTCCTTCCCCCCACAGAAGCTTCAGAAGACAAAAGACTACCATCTACGCCAAACCGCAACTCCAACAATTCCAAGGGTCCAAGTACCAATAAAGTCGGTCATTAGTCGGTATTTGCACTCCGGTTGTATCACTGTGCTATACTTTACTTGGCCCGTTGGGACCCAAGCCGGAAAAAAAAGGAGACGGCCTCCCAGCTCTCGACCGAAAAGGGAGAGGAGCACTGCCTCGCAACTGCCCGGTGGTTCTTGCTGTTGTTAAGGGAGGCCTTATACTATTCTGGGGGTTCCTTACTATGGTGATAGTAGTATAATGGGCCACAAACCCCATTCTAATTATTACTGCTTAACATTAGGGGTGAGACCATCGGATCTAGAGTCTTTCGTGGCTGTATCGGTATACGACACATGGCGGAGGTAACTACAATCGGTAGAATCATGCAACACTTGAAGCAAATTGTGCTTGGGTGGTAGGTCGTCGTCGGGATCGAAGCTGGCAGGGTATGAAGTATGTTTTCTTCGTTGTCGTCAGTTGCAGCCGCCGTCGTCTGCGTCCTCGTCCTCTGACCACGACGACAACAACGACTTCGATTACGGCTACTACAAGTCCTACCATTACAGCTACGACACGACAGGGACCGCGACGACTATGATACGACTGCGACTGGGCTTAGGATAACGAAAACTACGGCGACTGTGGCGACCGCGATTACGATGACGACTACTACTTCTACTGCGACATCGCTCCTCGCGGTGGCAGCAGCCACAGCGCTCGCGCAAGGACACGAAGGTTAATTCAAAATTGTTCCGTGCTGGCACGGAACGGACAGGACATGACGGGCCGGCGGCTCAAGAATAAATCCTAAACCCGCACGAGGCACTCGCTGAACCTCTTTCATGAATATTTCTCCCGAAGCCTGAACCCAAACTTTATTTCAAAATTCCCAAAGAGAGTTTAGGGATTTGGGGATTCAGGTTTTTGGTTTAGGGTTTAGGGTTTAGGAATATAGATGACTGCTACAGAGCTTGTAGCCGCATCGACCCAAATCCAGCCCGGCCTGAAGGAAAGGGCCCATGGCCCTCGCAGATGTCCTGGGAAGCCCGGTTTGTAGGGGCGGGCAGCTTCTTCGAATCGCGGCTATGAATTTGTTTACAGGGTTTTAAGGAGGGTTACGCACGGGCTGATAGGGGTCTCTGGAGGTTTGTAGGGTTGTAGAAGTGCTTTAATTAGGGGCTCCCCACGGGCTCGCAAACGGGTTCTATAAGATTCGATGTGGGTCCTATTAACTAAACAGTTCACAAGGACTTTAGGGGTTACCTAAAAGATCACGGGGCTTAGTAACTGGATAATTAAGGCAAAGGTACTTATAACTACTCATAACCCCGCTTAGGGTACTTATAACACCTTACCTACTAAGTCTTATAATCCACCAAGTAGGGTTAGGAGTTAGGAGGCCGTCTTAGGGACTAGGGCTTCGGAGTTTGACAAGCAGACACCAGGGAGTATCCGGATGAGGCGCAGGTTGAAACACGACAGTGGTCTGAATATTTCGTACATATCTCCGCTTACTGTCCCAATACCGGAATACTAGAACTTACCCCCAGACCCAGGGTTACCTATCGTTACGGCCCCAAGTGCAAACTTGAACTTGCTCTGAAACATAGGATAGAAATGGGCGCCCGTTTGAGACCTCGCACCAGTCCGGCCTGTGTGGCTAGGCTGTCACCCCCTTCAAAGGGCCCACCCACAATGTCTGGGGTTGCACGCAGCTGAAAGGTCTCGTCGCTCTTGGCCTTCATTAACCAGTCCTTCATCTGAATCTCTCTGTTTGTCCTGCATCCAATGAAGGATCTCACAAGCCTGCTCTTCAACAACCTTTGTCGCGGCAGCAGTAACATAGTGACATAAGGTCCTGAAGTAGTTGAAAGCACTACTTGTTGTACTTCAACAATGGATACGGCAGAAGCGCAAGGGAGCCTTCCAACACCTCCAGCGGCCGTTTCAATGCAAGAACCAATCCTAAACCCGAAACCCTAAACCCCACGAGCCCTAAATCATTTGCACATCCTTCGCCACGCACCATGGGAAACGAAAGACTTCCTTCACCCACCACGGCAAAATGAAAGCCCAACTGCGAAGCTCAATGAAAGCAAAGGGGTTTAGGGGTTTTAACTTGGCAGAGGCTCCATTTTACCTTAGAGTACACTATACCACCCGAAGCTCTATTCATTCTACTCATTGAGGCCCTATGGCACCCCTAAACCCTCTCCCCATAAAGCCCGAACTCCGCACTTCCAGAAACCCTAGAAACCCAAAGCCCTAGAAGTTGTGCCTCAGTAGAAGTGTCCAAAATAGATGAACCCGAATTTGAGCTGTTATCATGTTCACCTTGGGGGTTCCTACCCCTTAAGGGCTGATGCGGGTTCAATGTTTCGACATCAGAGGTCTTGGTTGGAACAAGCTGTACAGAACAAAAACGGTGCTACAATTTCAATGCTCTCTATGGTGGCCCCCTTTTCTGACACTCCAAAATGCAGCCGAGCCACATGAGAGTTCTTGACCTGCATGGGAACCCCAAACCGCCGATGACAGCAGTCAGTGACACTAATCAAAGGGCTCAAAAGGTGGGATGAAGATAGGTGGGATGATCCCCAATGAAGAGCCCATGTGTAAGGGATCCTTCATCCTACATACTTTCGTCACACCTTCGGAGGCCCCTGAACTTATTAGTTTTAACAACACCTAAACATAGTCGGCCCATACCCTCACCCTAAACTCCGCTTGAACACACAGCCCCGTGAGTCCAAAACGACTAGGGTGTAGCTTTAGGCTTTAGGGCTAAGTGAGTGTAGGCATTGCAGGGTTTAGGCTTTAGGCTCAACCCAACTTGTAAGGTCGGGCAAGTTCGTCCAACGTTTGAACGCAGTACAGCCGAGTGACAGTGAAATAGAGTGCCGAGAACCCGAACACCCTAAACCCTGACACCCTAACTCCCTAGACTATACTGAACTTAGAACCCTGGCATAATTTTAGCTGTCTCTTAGGGATTATAATGACCGCAAATTAAAAATTATTTCTAAGTACCCCTAAGTAGACCCCCAACCCTTGCACCCCTGAACCCGACACCCCTTGGGCATGGCATAGCGCTTAGGCACCCTCCTGTCCCGTCAGATATGAGCCGCGGAATTCGAAGTTGTTTTGTAACAAGTGCGGCATAAGGAGCTTTTTGGCATTCGTGTTAGTGCAGAGGAATGAAGGACCTTCAACTGGAGGCAACCTATTCGCACCCTTAGCCTGAGCACAGCACGTCTAATGGTGAGGCGGGACGACTAAACCCTAAAATCTAAAACCTGAACCTCGACAACCCTAAACACCTAAACTTTAAAACCCTGAAAGCCACAACCCTAAACTCGGACACAGGATCCCCCAGACCTTCCAAAATCCCTTAATTAAGGAATATACCTTAAATCATATTAAGGATCCTACTATAATTTAAGGGATATACCTTAATTAAGGGATTTTGGAAGGTCTGGGCCCTTGTATCCGATACGCCCAGACTGGAGGCCCTAGACTTTAGCAGACCTCCTCCGCCTTTGCCCCTAAACACCATGAACCCTGAAGCCTAGACGCTAAACTTTAGGGCTTTTTGTTAAGCACAGCACCGCAAACCCCAGGCTCATAAACCAAAAAGCCGCCTCAAGCCTAAACCGCAAATCCTAAACCCTAACAACCCCAAAACCTATACCCTAAACCCTAAACCCTAAACCGTGGCCTAAACCCTAAACCCCAAATCCTACACCCAACTCCGCCACAGGCTGGCCTTGCGTAGGCCGCCGTGCGAGCCGGTCCTGCGGGAACCTGGGAGAAACTTAGGGTTTGGGGGATCCTTATAGGGCTCCTTTAAAGGGATCTATAAGAATTCTATAAAGGGGGTTCGCCTTGAAGGGGTAGTATATGGTTTTATTCTAGGGTCCCCTTTAAGGGGTAGTATATGGTTTTATGCTAGGGTCCCCTTTAAGGGGTAGTACAGGATTCTATATTCGGGTTCCCTTTAAGGGAGTGTATGAGTTGCAGAGGCAATCTAGGAGTTTCCGAAAATGGGGGACCCTCATTTTGTACCCTGAATAGCAGGATCCTTATTACAAGGAGCCCAGAATGAGGTACCACTTGTTTTGGCACCCCCATCTCGGGTGCAGTGCGAACCTTCCGCGCATTCGCGCCACAACCTCGTGTGGAGACAGACCATTGCACCTGGCCATTCGCGACTTCGAGAGTATCGGAAGTGAGAGGGGGCCACGTCGCCAAGTCATTCAACAATCCTTGGATCGTGTCTCGTGACAGACTTTGCTCCACTTCCGGCTTGGATGCCAAAGCCAGGAGCTGGCCAAGCAGGGCACCTGTAAGCTCATCATCTATGCATTGGGTACGGCCCCCACTCATTGAATAATATTCATAATTCAGATCTATTAGGACTTTAATAGTGGCCCTATTATAGACTCTTACTGTATGGCGGCAGTACCTACTCCATGAAGCACGGACACCGTCGTTTTTGGTCTTCAAGACCAGTCCACTTAGCCATGAACTCATCTTCCGAGGACAGCACACAGAATGCACAAAGAGTGAACGGTGGCACTGACAAAACATGTAATGTAGGAACCTGATTAGGAAACCTTGGGCCTATAACCCCAAAATAGAAAGATTCATATAAGGAACCCTAATAAAGGCTCAAGGGTTCGTAATCAGCTTCCTACATGATGAACCTGCGCCAGACATCTGTGCACAGCACCACCACTGTCTAGAAAACATGATTGAGCTGATGCGGCACTGCCTCGAAACCCAAGGTTTGGGGGATCCCTAGCTTCCCTAAGGGTTACGGCTTAGGTTTAGGGCTTAGGGCTGTAGGGTTTCAGGGTTTAGGGTCCAGGGTTGGTTGGCCAAAGGGTGCCCTTTTAAATAAAGGAACTATAAGGGCTCCTATAAGGGATCTATCTCTAGGAGTTTAGGGTTTAGGTTTATAGGGTTGGGGGAGCTAGAAACTCGCTCAGAGTCCTTTAAGGGTTCTTTTGCAGGTTCCCTCATTATGCTATGCGACAGGGTGCCATAAGGGTTCTACAAGGGTTCTGTAGGGTTTAGGGTTTCAATCATACATACTTCGGCCGTAAAGCAGTCCCTATATGGGTACTTGAAAGCCAAAGTATATACTATTTGAGTACATGGACCCTTGGAGTGAACCCCCCGAAACCATTGAACCCTTGTCCTTTAACCCTAAAACCCATAATAAAAGAACCCGCAAGGGAACCCCTAAAGAAACCTTTGGAGGAACCTTCAAAGGAATCCTTCCACGGAACCCCTTAAAAGGACCCTGTATAGAACCCCCCAAAAAAGGACCTCTCTAAAGGCACCATGTAAAGCCAGGCCCTAAAGGAACACCCAAGGGAACCCTGTACAGTAAGCTCCGTAAAGTTGGAAACTGGATTAAGGCCAAATAGTGTCGGGATTCCTTATACAGTACTCTTAAGGATTGAGGCTATTGGGTTTCCAAGTTTTGGGCTTCAACTGTAAAACAACTTTAAGCCAGGCGACGATATCTGCAAGAACAGCATCCAAGCTGCCGCTCGCGGCCTGACAGCAAAACCCCAAGTTACGTCAAGTTAGTTTTGAGTTCCATTACCTAAACCCCCAAAAGTAGGTAACATAATGGCCCAATACCTTTAAAAGGCTATTCTTCTACATACTTTTGGGTCCAGGTAAGGATGTTTAAAGTCTCGTTTGAAGGGTTTAGGGGGGTTTACGGGGTCTTTTCAGGGGTCTAGACGGGTTTCTTGGGGTTTACAGTTTCCCGTTTAGGGTGAGGGGTTTTCTGGCTCGGGTGACTTCACAACTACGACGACGGTCAGCAAGGCAGCTACTAGTATAGCTCTAGCAACTCATCGCTCCAGTTAAGGCCCTACAACCCTACATGTGATATCCATACGGTATAACACCGGGATGCACGAAGCAGCTTATTGCTAGTCTCCACAAGAGCACTGGGCAGTCGAGCTCTACACACGCTCCCCAAGTACCAAACTGTGTTTAGAGATAAAATATAGTAAACTGCAAACCCTGGAGCGGAATCTAGTCTTTCCTACTGGTCACGGAGAAGCTTTATGTCGCCCACGAACCGTAGCATCATCTTCTTGAAGCCACTCTCTGCAGTAATTATGCTCGGCATGCCCTGGAAGGCGACACTTCGGCCATTGCGGCTCCGACACGGGCGGATGCACAGGCTGTTGCCCGTCTGCGGACCCTGGCGGAGACGCCGCCCCCGCTGTCGCCGTCTCAGCATCCAGGTTCGTCACATCCTTCTGCAGTTGATCCACAGCTTCGCGCAAGCCCTCCAACATGCTTCGCAGGAAGTTCAGCTTGTCCGGGAGGTGCTCGGTCGAGGCCTGGACGCGGTCGGCCGTCTGTTGCGCCCACCTGACATGGCCTGACACGTCCTTGCACTGTTTGGAGAGGTTGTATGCCACGTTTCCAAGCTCCTTGAGGACGTCCCCGAAGCGTCCATTCACTGCCGCGCCAAAGTGCTCCTGAGCCCTTTTGAGAGGCCCAAATGAAGCTCACCATGTGGGTGTAGTCGGTTTTGATTCTCCCGCGCAGCGCTTCCAGAGACTTCTCAGTCCCTATGTCCATGTACCTAAATAGTATATACATTGGCCTTAAAGTACTCCCTACATGGGTACATTGAGCCCAAAGTATCTACTATTTGGGTACATGGACCCTTAGGGAGTGGCCGCCGTGAAGTCGTCCACGGCCGTTCTAAAGGCATCCAAGATCTCCTTGGGCAGCGCGCCCACTTGATCACTCACCCAAAGGCTCCATGTACCTTTATTGTAGATACTTAAGCCTTAAAGGGGTCCCTATATAGGTACTTTAAGGCCTAAGTATACGGTACATGGAGCTTTAGGGTGTTGGAGCATCTTCTGGAACTCCAACTGGTAGGTGCGCAGTGTGTTTCCCAAGCTGGCGGCGTGCATGAAGTGTAGGGCTTGTATAGGGGATCAAAAGGGGTTTTTTGCAAAGTCAACCCGCTTCGGATTTTAGGGCTTAGGGCGTAGGATGCAAGGTCGAAGGCCAAAAGCCTGCATGAGCGTACTTGGCTTTGTCGTAGATGCTGTACCAGGATCCCGGGATTGGTATATGTAAGGAACCTAAGACTACCAAAAGCGAAGAAGGGCTCACTGGGAGGCACCTTAAGTGGGGTTATACGTACTTTTTAAGTATATAGTAACCTTAATTATGACCCTAGTTACCAAGTCCCATGATCCCCTAAGTAACCCTAAAACCCCTCTTATAGAAACCAAATAGATCCCTTTGAAGGACCCCTTTAAGGAACCCTGGTTACTAAGTCCCATGATCCTCGAAGTCTCAACACTAGAATAAGGTTTTGGGCTCCTGATTTATAGTATAGTTATAAAGAGGAACCCCAGGTAATAATGTTGGTAAATATTAAGGCTTCTATGGTAGGTTGTTGGTAAGTGAACATAGCCCCTTCAACACCCACAAACCTGCTATGCGAGCTGCATTGCCTTTGTCAAACCATGCAAAGCCCCATAATGATACTCCAAACTACACATCTCGCGCAATTTGCGCCCAAAGTCCTATACCCGAATATAAAACTCGACCCATATAGTGCTGAATCCTGAAACCACCTTAACTCCCCATGGCCGGAACCGGGAACCCGGTGGCAGTACTATAGTCGCCTTAATAATTAGAACAAGGTAGTTTTGGGGGGCCTTTACTACTATAACTATACTAAGGAACCCCCAAAACACTATAGGTAATTATTGAGGCCCCTATATTATGGTATCCTTAAAGATCCCTTAAAGACCCCTTTGAAGGAACCCTTTCAGGGAACCCTGAAACAGAGGCAATGATTGAGGCCCCTATAGTTAAGATGGCCCCTCGCCTGATAACTCTATGAAAACCACGAACAATAAAAATGGAAAAGGAATTAAAAATTAATGGAACCAAAAATCAAAACAAGAGACCAGGACCGACACAGGGAATAGAAAAAACACAAAAAAAACGAAACCAAACATGGAAAAAAAACAAAAATAAATCAAACGCAAACAAAGACAAACTGTCAGGGCCAGGGCATCAGGGGCGACAGGTTCAAAAAAGGACCACCCTGGACCAGCATTCTGAGTTTGTTTTTTTTCTCATGTTTTTTTCCATTGCGTGGGGGTGGGATTTGGGCCCCGTCCCAGGTGGCCTCCATCCTGGAAAAAACACAAATTCCCTGAAGCATTTGGGAAAAAATCAAAACAAAAATCAAAAAAACAATGGACAAATGATGGAAAAATAATGGAACCAAAAATGGAAAAGAAACGGAACCAAAAATGAAAAAAAATGAGATGGATCGGGGCCGAACGGGAACTATGGAAAAAAAATGAAACAAATATCAGATGCCAAGTGCACCCTGCAACCAAATCGGAGAAACATTGAAGTCAAAATGCCACGGGATTCCAATCCCATATTTTTTCCATTGTTTTCCCATTGCTTGTTTGATTGCCTGAGTGCCTCGATTCCATCTGCAATCTCAAAATAATCCCATTATTTATTATTTCCCGAGATAATAACGTTAACAGGACCGGGACATCATAACCCTATAGTATCCACCTGGAAGAAAATGGCGTAGAGTGCAAGGCCCACGGCCAGCCAGCCCAAGCGTCCCAAAAGAAGGGCGACCGAAAGCACCTAGGGTTTGTGGAGGTTCATGGGCAGTTATCACTTGGCTTATAGGTAATTAGAGTACCTACAGATACAACCCACCCAGAGGGTCCATATATACTACTATTATGGAATTAGGTCCCTCCCAAAAGGCCATCCCCATTATGGTTTTGGGGGCCTAATTCCATAATAGTAGTGTATATGGACCCTCTTGGCCACGTTAAGAGACTTGCACCCGCACTTATAACTACGCCTGAACCTGCAAGTTGAGGGTAGGGATTCCTCTGGAAGCTTCAAGAGGCGTTCGAAAAGTGCTGCCTTTAAGGGTTAACTACTGCTGATGGACAAAATCCTGCATGACCCTAAGGACTCTAAACTATGGGAACTATGGTATATTCCCTATGATGGGTAATGCAGGATTTATATATCATCCCTAAACCCTAAACCCCCTATAGATCCCTTAAAGGAATCCCTTAAAGGTGCCCTTATAGATCCCTTTAAAGGGGGGACCAGCAGTATGTCAGGAACCTGCTGGTTATAAGATGCCATGGGCGATTGCAGCATCTAAGGTTCCATAACCTAAAACCCCCATAAAGCCACAACCCTGCAGTATGCGAAACCGAAAATGCCGTACCTAAGTACTAAGCCCTAAGGCGTGCTTCTGGGGGGTGTTCAGAAGTGAGAGAAATGTTGCAAAGGCCTAATAATTAGAATAAGGGTTTAGGGGCCCATTTTGCTATGGTTATAATAAAGCACCCCCAGAAAAGATTGGGGCCTCCTGGGCCGGCGGCTTAGGACAGGGTTTGCAGAGCTTGGGGCTTAGGATTATGGGGGGGCTTGGCGATTGGGGCTGGCAGGGAATCTAGGGTTTTGGGCTAAGGGCGTGGGGCTTCAATGTTGGTGCTTTGCTGCGGGCTTCGCCGGGCCTAGCCGTTGAGGGTCTCATAAGTGTTCGATACGGGGTTACTATACGTGTCATTATGGGAGAGGTACCCCCCAATTTTCGGAAACTCCCTTATAGCAACGGCACCTACAATGCATATTGCTGCGGCCAGAACTCTGTGAAGGGATTGGATTGGATTGGACTCGGACTGTGGTGCTACGTGCTGTATGTGACGGCGCTGGGTGGATTTAATCAAAGCATAGTTACATGATGCATTGATTGACAAAGGCTACCTGTATAAGATGTTTCAACTATTTTGCTATAACTTGAGACATGAAGGGGGAACCTACTACCCGCATTTGCGTTTGGGCGTGGGGTCCACCATAGCTTCCAGGAGCATGAGTAGCCTGTAGCCTGTCGGGCGTACAGTAGTCGTTCTCCTATTGGTCCAGCTTTATCAGACCTAAACAGGATCCTGGTATCTATACTGATCTTAGAACCCTAACAATCATTGTAGTTTTAGCTGTTTCTTAGGTCTTAGGGATTATACTAACCAAAAACTTATCAATATTTCTAAGTGCCCCTAAGCTATGACAAGCTGCTACGGCCCCGGTCAAGCCGAAGACAAAGCCGCAACTGCGAAGGACCTCGGCTTGACATGCAGGACATGGTCTACCAACGGTTCTGTGAGAGGTTGATGAAGGCTTTCGTGAAGGATTTCATAGTGTAAACCCCTGATTCAGAATCACCTCTCTCTTCAAGGGCCTTACTATCAAGATCCTTGTAAAGAACACTCATTCAAGAGATTCCAGGAGGCCTGTTTGCTTGTAACATGAAGCATCTGATAAGTGATTTGTGCATTTACACATATCTTTTGAGGCTGGGGCTTCGACTCAGAAGGCAACAGCTTCGGGGTTTGAGGCAACAGGGGTTTAGGGTTTTGGGGTTTGGGGAGAGGGTATGGCGATTCAGGTTTAAGCTTGGAGCCTTGCAAGCCAGTCTTATGGCACCGGAATCCTCCCAAACCCTGACGCTTGCTTTCGGAGCCCTGAGACCTGAGATTAGGGCTTCGTGTGGAGCGCGCAGGTGCTGAGTGCGTGAAGGGTTTGCGATGTAGGTATATTTATAAAACCCCGAGAAGCTCTTCCCAAAGGCCCCAAAGTAGTTCCTTTTTCATATTTAGAATCCTATAGGGTATTCCCAAAAAGGAACTACTTTGGGGCCTTTGGGTATAGCCCCAAAACCCTCTACACCATCGATCCGAAACCGTTAACACCAAAGATTGGCAGGCGGCGGCCAAGCGATCAAAGCGATCGGAGAAGTAGCCTCGACTGAGCTCTGAGGGCTTAGGGTTCTTGCTGAGAGAACGAAGCTTCATCTGAAGCCACCCTGCTAAGAATATCCTACGACGTACCCTGTACCATACATACATACACACTACCCACATGCATACACATACATATTTGTTATGTACGTACGTACTCATGCATGCATGTACGTATCTTACCCACTTGTAAGCATGTGTGTATCGAACAAAAGAAGCACACCTGCATGTAGGTTTATACAGGCATGCGGCATGTGTGCACGTGTGTGCGCAATCATATGTCTACTAACCATGTTTATACACGCATCTACAAACATGTACTAGGTCTACCATTGCTATGACAACTCTCACTAAGTTCTTGTGTACAAACCACCTTTCTGCTGGGGATTTGAGGTCCTCGCACACTTACTCAGATGGTGGGCTTGGGGATTACAAGGGCTCAAAGGGTACTACTACTTGGTAACTTGATCTTGAACTCTCAAGACGGAAATCCCTGAGCTTTCAAGACAATCCTTAACCCAAGGAAGCCTCCCTTTTCAGGGCCTTGCTTTATGCGTGTTTTAGCGTTCCTGATCATAACTTCCACATATGAACCCTTAAGAAGGTATAGTCTCAAAACCGGGGAGCCAAGCGGAAACGCCGCTGCAAAGGCCGTTAAGCCGCGTACCGACTCGAGAAAGCCGATAAACTCCTCGGAAGCTCCAATTAGGTTCCCAAAGGGTCCTATGTGCTGTTATGGGGGATACTTCCCTAAGTCATAATAGAAACTCCTAATATGGAAACCCTACATTCTACTATATCGGTACATTGGACCCTTTGGGGTTGATATAGGGTCTAGGGTTTTAGGGTCTAGGGCTTCAGGGGTTCAGGCGTTTTAGGGTTTGGGTTTAGGGTTTTACAGTCGGGTTTAGGGTTTAGGGGAAGCCACGGGATCCGACTGCTTCTTTTGTTTGAAGGCCCCTTTGCCGTTCCAAATGGGGGGTTTAAGGTGCCTTATAGGCTCTTATTGGGTTTACGTGGACCCTGAAAGACCTACTTTTCTAAGGGTTCGTATTTGGGGTATACGATAGATACTATACTTGTAATCAGGAACCCTCAAAATAGCAAAGGTAATCATTTAGGCCCCAATATTACAAGAGATGAGGGCCCGAGGAGGAAGAGAGATGTCCGCCGCTTCCCAGAGTTTTTGAACTGGTCGTTCTCTCGGGTAGTTGCCAGGTTTAGCAGACCTGGAGAATATCGACACCAGCCGGCGAGCGACCCAACTCTGTGCATGAGCGACTTTGACTCGACAGTGTTTCCGTGCCACATGAGCTTTGAGTAACATGAACACCTGATCACTCACACATGGGTGGTTGTCAAAATTAGCGTCCCTTTTAGGGGTACCCTAAATATTAGGTGCCGTATTATATCAAGGACCCCAAAAAGAGACTCCAATTTTGACAACCACCCATATAGAACCCGTTGAATTGCTGCAAAAGATCGGCTCACTGCCTTCATGCCCATCGAGCGGGCAGGGTGAAAGAAACGTTCCGAACGCTGTGAATCGAAGGTCCCATCCCATGATATTTTGTCAAGGGTGCGAGCACCTCCACATTAAGGATCACATCAGCTTGTGACAAGTAATCGCGAGGTATAATGCAAAGGCTGCTTGCCGCTGCTCGGCTGAGAGTAACTTAACCTTATTCTCCATCCAAGCTCTCACGCGCAGATGTCCAACACCAAGGACTCAAATACGACAAACCCATAGCATTTGGGGCTGTGTGGCTTTAGGGTTTAGGCTCTAGGGTTCCTGGACTTTACGGAGTACCGCTTTCTGGATTCTTGGAAGGGAGCATTGAGGATCTGCTTCCCGGTTTCAAGGTTTAGGGCTATAGTAGAAGCCAGAAAGTTGGAACATCATTCTCCTCATGCCCTTAAGGTAAATTAGAAGGGATCCTAGCACGAATCCTCCTAAAGCCCTAAACCCTAAACCCTAAACCCCTAAACCCTAAACTATCTGGCTTCTACTATATTAGAGGCTCAAAATGGGGTGTACAGCTCCAGGGCTGATGGACTTAACATTTTTATGGGGTATTTATGAAGGTTTAGAAGAGCCTCCATTATTTTTTAAAAATTTTATGGTATTTATGAAGCTTTAGAAGAGTCTCCATTATTTTACAAGGTTTGGGGGGGGGTGTCCGAGTTGAGTTTGCATGGACAGGGAAAGGTTTCGGTGTACAATATGCTAGAAAAATACAAAAGGAGATCACGACCCTTGCTCAGATTCTTATATGAGCCGTTTCTTGGACTGCTGTGGGCCTCGATGCACAACACCCAAAATCCTGAACCCGAAAACCCTAAACCCGATAACCAAAAACCCCAAACCCAACGACCAACACCATGAGCTCTAACCAGAACCGCAAGGGTCCAAAGGACACAATAATTAGGTAGGTACTCGGTTTTAGGATAGTACTTATGTAGCTTAGGATTTTGGCTAGTATATGATTATCAGGTACTTGGACCCTTGGGGAAAGGATCGCTAACTTCCCCTGGGCCTCCGTAAGTCTCTAAGATTCTAGTTTCGTGCTCCTCGAGATTTACTCACATGGCCATGGGTAGTTCTCTAAATTAGGCTCCTTCTTCCGGCTTTCAAAAGAGTGCGGCACCCTTGATTAATTATAAGCAGGACCCTGAGAGGGACCCTAGTTTAGAGAGCTACCTGGTTCACATCCTTAAAACCCTGCCCTGCAGCTGTACGTTACACCCCTAGAAGCCCGCAAAATCAGAGAAAAGGCCTTTGGAAGGCTTGGAGTTTTAGCTTGACGTCCCAGACTGTAATATAAATTGTTAGCTGTTTCTTTGTTGAAAGTTCTATCCCTATCCAGAAAAGTACGACAGCTCAGAGTCTACCTGCTTCCCCATTTTAAACCCTAAAACCTAAACCCCTACAGCCCTAAGTATGTTCTTAAGTTAACTGGTACCGATCATAGAGAGGTCTTCATGATAATGATTGGTTTTTTTGGGTGTATCAGGACATTTTACGACACTCAAAAAAATGGAACAAAAAACGAATGGGGTTGGCAATAATTAACGCCCATAAAACCAAACCCTAAAAACCCTCAATGCAAAACCCTGAACCCTAAACCCCAAAATCCTAAACTTTGAAACCCTTTAAACGCTGGACCCTAACCTTAAACCCTAAACCCCTATGCATTGCTACCGATACCTTCAAGTCGAGCCGCGTTCGGATGCGCGTAGCCGGTGCTCTGGGCCACATCTGCCACATAGACCTAAACTCTCCAAAGGTGCCGTAAAGGCATCCTTTAGAGGTTTAGGGTTTACCTAGACCCTAGGGAACCTATCTTTTTTTGGGATTCCATAATATAATTTCCTTATGTAAGTCCTTAAAAAGGTAGGTTATTCGGGGTTAAGGTAGGGGGTTTAGGGGTTAGGGTTTAGGTTTTACGGTTATTTTTTTTTTACCCCATAGTGCTCTTCAGGGTTCCCTGAAGGGATGGGGATTCCTAAAAGGCTTTCTATAATGGTTCCTTTTCCTTTACAGGGGGCTTCTAGAACCCCCTTGAAAGGGGACCCTATTTCAGATCCCTACAGGTCCCTTTAAGGGTCCATTTTTGTGATCTACAGTATAAAAGTTTTGCAAGGGTTACTGTTTGCTTTCACGGTTCCTAGAAGTTTCCTTTAAGGGATCTATAAAGGTTCCCTTAATGGACTCTATGAGGGTTCCTCTGAGGGATCTGCAAGGCTTCTACACGAGTTTTGGGATAAGGCTGTCCTTTATATAAGGGTTCCTGGAAGGGGTTCGTTTAAGGGCTTCCTACCATTAAGGGTCAAGGGCTTCCCTTTAAGGGTTCCTTGAAAGGGTGGGGTTCCTTTAATGATTCCTATAAGGGCTTCTACAGCCGTTCCTGTGAGGGCTTCCATAAGGGTTCGTTTTCCTTTAAGGGTTCCTACAATGGTTCTTTTGCAGGTTCCCTAGAGGGTTTCTCTAAGTCTAGAAAAGCTCGAATCCCGAGGGTGTGGGTTATGGGTTTGGTTTTTGGGTTTTGGGTTGCCGGCTTCAAGGTTGACACGAATTAACTGGGGGACGTTGTCGAGTCGAGGGGCTCAGGCCTCATATGGGGGACTTTTGAATCATGTAAGGCCTCTTGTGGGGGGTCCCTTATTTAGGATCCCGGTATGCTGAGCCGACATGGACAAAACCTCGCAACGGGCCTTTAGGGGTCTTGGGGTTAGGAATGACTAAGATTGTGCGTGTGGCCTAAGTTAAGATATAGATGTTAGTAACCCCCTTATAACCTCCCTGTAACCCCCTTACATCTTTGCCATCCATGTAGTAAGTCCCTACTAACTTGGGGGAAGTTAGTAGAAGGTTGGTTGGAAGAAATAGAAGTTATTAACTTAAGTTAACTTTTTCGCTAACTTTTGCTAACTTATGTTAACTTATGTTAACGTATTCTAACTTGTTTTGTTTTATGTCGGTTTTGTGTTAAATGGTTTTCGTTGTTTGTCACTGATGCTGTTCTTTTCTGTGCTCCACAAAGATAAGAGCAGATGCTATGGGCTTAAGGGGTTCAGGTGTTTAGGACCACCACCACCACCACCACCACCACCACCAGCACCAGCACCAGCACCAGCATCAGCACCACCACCAGGGTTATAGGGTTTAGGGGGTATAGTGTACGGTGTGGAGTGTAGAAACACTATCACCACAGCCTTCACCAACACCAAGACCGCCGCCGCCACCACCACAACAACAACAGCAGCAACAACAGCAACCACCACGACAACAACAGCACCAGCACCACCAGCACCAGCACCACCACCAACAGCAACAACACATGTCTAGGATGTTAGGAACACCACTAGCGCATGTTTAGAGTTCAGGGGTTTAGGGGCTTGGGTTTGGGGTGTAGGGCTTGGGAAACCTCCGCCAGCACCACCGCCAGCACCAGCACCAGCCCCAGCGCTAGCGGAAGTGCGAGCACCAGCACCTGCACCCACCAGCGCTAGCACCAGCACCAGCACCTAGCACCAGCACCAGCACCACCGCCGCCGCCGCCGCCCCCACCACCAGCACCACCACCACAGCAGCACCACCAGCACCAGCAGCGCCAGCACCACCGACACCACCATCAGCAACCCCCACCGCCCGCGCCACCACCGCCAGCACCACCCCCGAGTTCATAAAGCCAGGAACCAGGCCGGATAAGTTCAGAAAAAGTTCATATTTCCAGGCCTGAAAAGTTCATAACAAGTTCATATTTCGTGGCCTGAAAAGTTCATAAAAAGTTCATATTTCGAGGCCCGAAAAGTTCATAACAAGTTCATATTTCCAGGCCGGAAAAAGTTCATATTTTTAGTGTTTTATTGGTATTTACGATGAATCCAAGCCTGAAAAGTTCATATTTCGAGGCCTGAAAATTCATAAAAAGTTCATATTTCGAGGCCTGGAAAGTTCATATAAAGTTCATATTTCGAGGCTTGAAAAGTTCATAAAAAGTTCATATTTCCAGGGCTGAAAAGTTCATAAAAAGTTCATATTTCCAGGCCGTTCGCCCCACCACCGCCACACCACCCCACCACCTACCACCCTACCACCCCACCACCCACACCACCCCACCACCCCACACCACCACCACCCCACCACCACCACCACCCCACGACTCCCACACCACCACCCCACCCCAGCCCGCCCTTACACCCCACCACCCCACCCACCCCGCACTTTACCGCACCTACCGCCCCACCACCCCACTACCGGTGCGTGGGGCGGTGGGTGGTGGTTGGTGGGTGGTGGGTGGTGGGTGGTGGATGGTGGATGGTGGGTGGTGGGTGGTGGGTGGTGGGTGGTGGGTGGTGGGTGGTGGGTGGTGGGTGGTGGAGGTGGGTGGTGGGTGGTGGGTGGTGGGTGGTGGGTGGTGGGTGGTGGGTGGTGGGTGGTGGGTGGTGGGTGGTGGGTGGTGGGTGGTGGAGGTGGGTGGTGGGTGGTGGGTGGTGGGTGGTGGGTGGTGGGTGGTGGGTGGTGCGTGGTGGGTGGTGGGTGGTGGGTGGGTGGTGGGTTGTGGGTTGTGGGTGGTGGTGGTGGTGCGTGGTCGGTGGTGGGTGGCGTGGGTGGTGGCTGGTGCAGCACCTAAACTTTCTAATAAACCCCCAATCAGCTGCGTGGAAAGTTTTCCTGGGAATGGATTTGTTAACCGCATTTTGGTTGGTGGGTGGTTGGTGGTGGCTGGCGATGGCCACCGCCTCACCACCCGCTACCACCACCCACGACCCCGCCACCCCATCGTTGTTTCTTTTAACCCACAAGTTCACTTTTGCTAACTTATGTTAACTTTCTTTAACTTATGCTAACTTTTTATCTAACTTACCTAACCCCCTAGTAACATCTAATTATATCTTAACTTAAGCCAAACGCACAATCTTAGGATATGATCTTTTGTGCAGGGCGCCGGGTTAATGCAAAAGCCATCGAAGTCTCCAGAACGATGGTGGAAGGCCTCGCCACCTGACCCAAAACCCTGAACCTGAAAGATGAGTCGCAGGTTTTGGGCTTTCGTATGAAACTCTTTCGCGCCCCTATCCAAGACCCTAGCACCCCAAACCCTTCGACACACTGAGAAGCCTGAAAAGTAGCCCTGCTGAAAATTGTCTGCGCGAGCCCGATTATAGAATCATATACAGCCCGTAAAGGATCCCTTGAAGGAAAACAACCGGTCAGAGTCGCATCGAACAGGGAGCCGACGGAGATAGCGTCTGTGGCCCAGAGCAAGACCATCAAAAGGTAGACAGAGGAAGCCTAGCAATCGAAAGGTACTCCTTTAATTCTTATAGGGTTTGCGACTTGGGGATTGCGGTTTAGGATTTTGGGGGTCTGGGGTTTAAGGCTCAGGGATGTGCAAGTTTTGTGGATTCTAGGGGTCAGTCACTTCACGGTGTATGGCTTGACGAGACAACGATCCTTCGTTGTGGGTCAGGGGCGTTGACGTGAGGGATTCGGAAACTCTAAACTTCAGACTCCAAACCTTAAACATCCTTAAACCCTCAAACCCAAAACGCAGTCCGACTCTTTGCAGAAACACGACAGTTCTAGCCCCTAGAACCCCAAACCTGAAGATTTCCTAGACGAAGTGTCATCCGTACAAATACACCGCCAAGGGGCAGCGATCGGACGCCCCGCATCGCTGGCAGTCGCCGGCGCAGATGCTGCAACATCCATCGGCAGAGACTCCAATATCCCTTAATTAAAGAATATTCCTTTAATCATATAAGAGATCCTACTATAATTTAAGGTATATTCCTTAATTAAGGGGTTTTGGAGTCTCTGGGTCGGCAGGAGAGTCAACTAAACCCTGAGCGCAATATGCCGTAACGTGGGGCCTCTAGACCTAGACTTTCGTTACATCTACTCTTCTGCTCGTTCGCAGAGCTGGTGACGCCCCGATGGTGATGCTGGCACTAGAACTTTTTGACTTTCACCGACCGAATCGTTTCGAACGGAAACAAATTAACGAAAAGACCGTAATTACGATTGAGGCTTCCCAAAAAGCCCATGTTATAGTTATAGTATTTTCGAAAACCATGTAGGAACCCCCTTTTCAGGCCTAAGTGTCTACAGACAGTTTTCATGCATCTCTTCTGTGCGGAGAACGGCGAACGGTTCTGCATGTTGCCCTCTACCTTGCGATACCGGCGGCTAATATGTTCAACGTTAAGGGTGTTTTGGGATAAAAACCCCTGACCCGGAACGCCAAACCTAAACCCTAAAACCCCAGACCCTATAAACCCTAAACTCAACACCCCAAACCCCTAAACTCTATAAATCCTGAACCCTAAATCCTAAACCCTAAATCCGAAACCCTTAAACCCTAAATCCCAAACCCCTAAACTCTATAAATCCTGAACCCTTCAAGAGCCGTATCAGAACCAAGCCTCGCTGCACCAAGCCGGCCCTAAACCCTAAACCCTACGCCTAAACCCTGAAGCCTCAGCCCTAAACCCTAAACCCTAAACCCTAAGCCCTAAACCCTAGACCCTAAGTGCTAAACCCGAAACCCTAAACCCAAGCCCTAAGCCCTAAACATTAAACCCTAAGCCCCTAAACCCTAAACTCAAGCCCTAAACCCTAAACCCTAAGCACCGCGGGTGTCTTTTTAGACTTTGGGGCGCCGGTCCCTGATCTGAAGAATCAGCCCAGCAGGCTGCACCCTATCGTTCAAGCCCTTTACTTAGAAGATCATCGGACTTAGTAACTAGGGCTCCTTAAAGGGCTCCTTAAAGGGATCTAGAAGGTTTCTTAAAGGGATCTACGGGGTTTAGGGTTTAGGGTCTACTTAGAGGATCATGGGACTTAGTAAGTAGGTTATAATTGGGGTTATAAGACCCCTAAGTGGGGTTATCCTACTTGTAACCTACTTATAACCTTACTTACTAAGTCCCATGAGCCTTTAAGTAGGGTTTAGGGTTTTAGGGGTTTAGGGCTTGAGGTTAAGGGCGTAGGGTTTGGGGCTTAAAAGCATGGGTTATTGGGTTACATGGCACACTGTGTTCAAGTAACCGGGGGAATATAGTATATACTACCTGAAGTCGAGGGGTTGAGCGGTCTAGGAGTCTAGGGTTTACCTTAACCCGGAATAACCTACCTTTTTAAGGACTTATATAAAGAAATCATAATAAGGAACCCTAAAAAGGTAGGTTATTCAGGGTTAAGGTAGGGTATAGGGCTTCTGAAAAGTAAACCTTTGGAGTTTTAGTGGTGCGTTCTGGTATAGTCAATATGCTGCTTGTGCTGACCTCCACAGGACCTTGAAGGATCCTAAGAAAACCCTAAGCCCTAAACCCTAAACCCCTAAACTTTAACAAACTCTTGGGGGGGGATCTGGGCTCTGCTAAGGAGAGCCCTTGGGGCTATTTTGGGGTCTCAATACTAGACCCAAGAGTAACCTAGGAATAAAAAGGGTGCCCTTTTTGGTTTAAAGGGGCTTAATAAGGGAACCAGAACACTAAAAAAGGGAATAAGGGCTTACTCTGGGTCCTAGGGGCTATTTTGGGGTCTCAATACCTCGAGTCAGGGTTCAGTTGAAGTTCAAGGCCAGCTACAAAACCATGCCATTGCCTATCAGATCAATCGAGCTATACATTTCCCGTGGAGGGGCCGGTTGAAGCGAGTTTCGGGATCAGGGCTCAGCATCTACGATTTAGGGCTCAGGGTCGGGAATTAGGGTGGGGCTTCGGTTTGGGGTTTATCTGAAGACCGAGAAGTCTTTTTACCGCACGCCTACCATACAAGGTAGTTCCTACTGCTTGCGGAAACTCTCTCACAGCTTCGCAGCGGAGCTGTCGATTTCTCTGAAGTGCGTGTAAAAGGCCTGCGTACACGCGTTATGGCTCTGGTACGGCTATCTGGTGGATTCGCGGTTCAGGCCATATGCCCTCAGCACTAAATCCTGCACCCGTGCTACGGAAATGGTCAGATCAGGATACAAGTTTCGGGGTTGCATGGCAATCTGGAACATTCCGCCAATTTTGCAGGTTGGGCATGAAGCCAACCTTTATACTAGCATTATACCCAAGATGTAAAAAAAAAACAAATTAAAGGGCCGTTGGGCATTAAGGATGTGGTCAATTCTACATTCCGGGGAGGGGCGGGCTTGATCGAACCCACAGGAACCGAGATAGGATTTGAGATTTCCTAAACCCCGAACTTTAGGGTTTGGGGTTACGGGGCTCCGGCTGTTAGGGCTGTTACATCCCCCTGCGCGCCCCCCTACCCCAACAGACAAACGTTGATCACATAATTTACAAACACCTACAGTGCAATGCAACCCAGACCTTCCAAAACCCCTGAATTAAGGAATATACCTTAAATTCGCCTCGGCCCCGGCCGAAGCGGTCAGAGGTTCCTATTCGGATTCCTCTGTTCCCCACCTCTTAATCCCCTCCCCAATGACCCCACCCCCAAAAAAAGGGTGCCCACCCCCCCCCCCTTCCCCCCCCTCCCCCGCCCTTCCCCTCCCCCCCCTCCCTTTCCCTTCCCTCCTTCCCTCCCGCCCCTTCTCCGCTCGCTGACAGGTGCGAGTTTTGTGCAGTACCAAGGGAGTTTCAAACCTGAACTCCTAACCCTACACCCTAACCCCAGCCTGAAAAATTGGGGTAGCCACTCGCCGCATGCGCGTACAGCCGGGCCGAGGCGGACGACGCGCAGCGTTTCAAATTATAGTAGGATCCCTAATATGATTTAAGGTATATTCCTTAATTAAGGGATTTTGGAAGGTCTGGGAAGCCCCTATTATAAACCCCAGAGAGAGACGGTAAGAGCGTAAACATCTTTAAACTGACAAAGCAAGCCTATACTAGGATACCCAGTAACCTAAGAAAAAAAAGGCCTCTCTTTTTGGTATTGGGTATCTTTATAAGGAACCTAGGACTACAAAAAGGGAATACGGGTACTACTGGGCATCCTAGTATAGAAATCCTGAAAGACGCCCCATCGGAAAGAGCGACATCTCTTGGGACCTGCAGGGCAAGTTCAGATGCCATCCCCCAAATCACAAAACCCCATCACAAGCTGTGCAGAGTTTCAGGAACAACAACCCCCCACAGAACCTGAACCCCTGTAAAGCCCTAAGGCTATCTTCCTAATAAAACCTCTAGAACGCTTCAACAAAAGAACGTACGACACTCTATATAGGACACCATCTGTAACGCTTAACAACCAGTATGAAACCAACATGCTGGCACCTTGCAAAGGTCGAGCCTCAAACAGCGCAGCCCGCGAAATCCATTAGTGCGTTCGAGTTTTCGTTTTTTGGGTTGCTACAAAGATTACTTTGAGGAGGCCATTATGAAAGGTTCCCTTTTCGGTGTTTTAGGATTAGTATAAGGGCTACTGATTTTCTATGATTTTTTTTGGAAAATTCGGTGTATTGGGCTCTGGACTTAGCATTTAGGAGTAGCAACAGTAAGGATTTCAGGGGTCGGAGTTTACCCTAAACCCTAAACCGAAGGGCTGTCTGGATTTTTGTCTAAATAAAGTTTTATGCGGGAATTCGGAGCGTTCCGTACAGGGTCTGGGGGCTCGTGACAAGCAGCTTGTCAGGAACCTTAGGCCCCTAAACCATGGACCCTAAATTCCTGACCCCTAACCTAAACCCATTCCAGGGTTCGGCATGGAACTCACTGGCTTCGGGGGCTGCAACGCTTGGCTTGGCGGGATGAGACAGAGTGAGGATTTACGCAGCTAGGAACTTGTAGATAACTGAACTGTCAAGTTGGAGGGTAAACGGTGTGCGCGTGTCTGTGTGTGTGGGGATGTCTGCAGGGTTTCGAAAAGCTCTGTCTACTGGTTCGGAGCTTAAGGTTAAGGCTTTGGGGTAATTTAGTAGTTGTGGTTCAGGGTTTACGGTTTAGAAAATGACAAATCGGTTTAGGGTTTAGGGTTGACGGTTTTTAAAATGACAAATAGCATCACGGCCACAATGATGCGAGGCGGCATGTTGACTTTCAGCAGCACTGCTACTACCGATAAAGAGCTTGATACCGTCAAGTCCTGGCAGGCTTTGTATGTCCTAATCACTCACCAGCTTTGCAGCCAAGGTGGTTGGACGGCTCTGCTGACAATTGCGACGTACTGATGACGGCAATAAACTACTGCCTGGCTTCTGTTCTACCACACATCCTCAGCTCGAGCCCAACCCCCATGAACTCCCATTACATCCTCAGCCCTCAATATGTCACGACGTTCAACCAGGAAAATCTCCAGGAAGCGCTTCATGACTT